GTTGTCCAGTGCACTGAGAAAATGAAGAATATGTCTGGTTACATCTACCAGGATTAAGATGTTTCTAAAACATCAGGAGTCTCAGGCATCAGAATTGTGGTGCAATTCTCAGAGCAAATACCCTGCCTGCTCCTGTTGGAGTTACAAAACTGGGAATTCAGCAGTACTACAAAAAAGTTAATATGGTGCCAGCATTCCAAGGTGGATGACCTAAGTTGATCCTTGGTGACAAAAAAAAATTATGGGGGACTGGCAAAAGTGAAACTAACAGGAGTGGAATACAGTGAATTACCAGCTGATGTGTTTTATTAAAAATGGATGTTTTCATTACCTACCAAACTTGTCATTTGACAGACTATGCAATGGCACCTATAAAAATGTCAGTTAAGTGGGCTAAGAATTATGATACCTCCCAGTATGTCCGAAATGATATTTGGAGACCTGGTAAAATTGGCACATTTCCTTTAGTTATCTATGAGTAAATAGACAATTATTGACATTTGTGACCAATGGCTGCCAAGACAAGCAGCTGAAAGGCCAGGATTGCCCTTAAGAGCAATCAAGCTACAATTTCTTAAAATAAGGCAGGTATTAATAATGCCAAGCTCAATATGAGCACTAAACATCTGCATATAGTTCAGTCTCCCAATTTAAGCTGATCACTAGAGATAGATGCTGCAGTTCAATTCCATACCTCTGACTTGGAATTAGTCCCAGATTTCCATCCTCTTGTCTTGTGAATTGAGGTTCACGGTCTAAATCTTCTTTTAAAGTTGTTTATTGTGTAATTATTACTATAAAAGCCAATGTTTATTGATGTTCTTAGTTATGGAGATAACTATTACACCTCTAATTTCACAGCTGAACCTTACTAAATGGAAAGCTATTACTATGATTTACTGTGGAATTAAAATTTTCTCCACTTTACCACACCTTTCATTTAATTAAATAAGGGCAGTAAAAAGAAGGGAGTGCAACTTCTTCTGTTTTGTCTTTTTTGTTGTTTTTTTTGTTTTGAAAGACAACTGTCAGTTACTAAATGAAGCAAGAGTTACTCTGCATTTATTATGTACACACACTGAACACAGGCTGACTTCCCAGCTCTGCTAAGCTGATCATTACCTTAAAAGAATGAATGGCATGAACATTTAGTTAAAAAAAAAATAAATTAATAAAATTCAAGAGTTAGCTGAAATCCCTGAGAATCAATACTGTAGAAAAAGGAAGGTCATGTCACAATAAAAATAAAAAGCTGATTCTTTTTAGGGGTTGCTTGATTTCATGAGATTGAATATGGAATACATTTCAATTTTGTCATGGAGGACAGTGGGGCAGGCAGGGGAGCAGTAGCAATGCACAGATTCTCTGTAACATTTTCTGTGAACCTGTCAAGTTGTTTTGTTTTGATAAAACAAGGATATTATCTTCCCTTTTCACTTTGTGCTCGGTTAAATCCCATGTGCAAAGTATGGAGACTCCTGAAAGGTACTGCAAAACCAGGGGTTTCTTCCTTAAATAAGGGACTCTTAAATGTTACATTAGGAGTGAAGATAATTACACCTTCCAGTTCACACCACTCCTTTGAAGACTGGGTTTATAATCCACTGTCAGGATCTCCTAAGCCCTTCTTTATTCTTTTCAGCCTAAGTAAGGCTTTACTATGGACCCAAACCCCATGATTAACATCACCTCCTGTGACTCTTGTCCTGATTTCTGGAAGAAAATTGTCATCCTGGATGGCCATGCAAAAGCACAAAATTACTAAAATATTGCAGAAAACACCCATTCATTTATTTGAATAAAAGTCAAAATTAAGAATATCTTCCAATATAATAATAACAATGATGCCTCTAGTTTTCAGTTCAAGGGAACTGAAACCAATGAAAGAGAACTAAAAATTAAGTAATTTTATGAAATTACCTGAAAATATATAACTAAATTTGTTGTATCTTTCCACTTCTATTTTTAGATTTTAAAAATTGTTTACATTCTTATCATACACATCCATACTGATATTTACATTTTATTAATGGTATGAAATGGTTTAGTCTCAAAAGTTTTATGCTTTTTTTAAAATTATTATGGAGCACATACAAGTTTGAGGAGTGATTGTATCTTTTCCATCTACATTTGATTATGGATGCACGTGCCATAAAGCAAAGAAAAAAAACAGAGTGTTTTTCTAGGCCAGTAGGATTCACTCTCACAAAGTTAATTCTGGGCATTTTAAAGCAATGGGGAACATTTCAGACTTCTGTCTTTAAAACTTTAATTTGTATGCTTAGTGATAATAGGAAAACAAAAAGGTTGTATTAGTAACTTTCAGGGAAGTGGAAAGCATTGAGTGTCAAATGTATGTCAAAATCCTCAAATTCAGTCATTCAAAAGCCTCTCTTCCTTAAGGCTGCTCTCAACAGCTCTATCTTCATTTATTACCTAGCTCAGATTACACCAAAGCACAGTGCAAAGGCCAGGGGAACATCACAATTTCACCCATATTTTCTAGCATCTGTACTTTTTCCCAGGTGTTGCTAGAGAGGCAAAACCACTCTGACCTTAAGGTCAGATCACAGGGCACTTAGGTGTTGGCAGAACAGAAGGAGCTCAAATAACCATCATTTGCACATATGGACCAAGCAGCACTGTAGCACAGGCATTTCATTTTCCACAGAGAATTATAATTATAATCTACAAATATGTGCCCAATACATCTCTATCTATTCTCTACCACTCATTTAAAGCTGGATTTTATTCCTTGTATTGTTTTTCAATAATCAGTGGAACTATTTTAATCGGTTATTTTAATCAGTGTGTTGTTTACTGGTCTCAAGCTTTGTTAAAAATTATGGACAGAGACAATACCTCTAAATCCCTCTAAATCAGAGCCCTAAGACAAACCCATTTCTTGCTGCATGAATTTTTCATTTGGCACAGGCAATAAAACAGCTTTGTGCAGATGCCTCTAAAAATCTGTGCCATTTGTAATGTCCTGATTTCAAACCTCTGAAGTAATTGGCACTGTTCTTATGAATTATTTCAATATCCAGAGGTCTCTTTCAGATGTTACAGGGTATCTTTGTTTCACCAAGCAGTTACCTTACTCCATCACCTGCTGGCATCTCTCTCACACATGCTTTATGGACAAATTGTGAAGCAACTTTAAAAAACCAAAAATAACAAACAAATAAGCAAACCAACCATTAAAAAAAGCAAAACAAAATTCTCCAAGTTACTCTGACTTCCAGCCATCTCTGCAGTGAAGGTCTCAAGCAAAGTTGGTGCAGTAACACTGCATTTGCTATGGCACCAGATTATCAGCCATCTGCATTGATAGCAAGGTTAGATTCCAATGTCAAGACAACTGCAGAGAATCCATGTGCTATCCCAGGAGAATTTCTGAATCACTGGTGAAACAGAAAGTAGTAGATGCTTTTTTTTTTTTTATTGCTATAACCAAAAGCCACAAACTGCTTGTAATATATTGCACATGACAAGGCATAATCCACCCTCTGCACTAAACGTGTCGTGGAGTAATGTCCTGAGAATGCGGGGATTTTGAGTGAGCATTGTAAATCTCACAGAATCAGGAATACTGAGCAGCACTAATAACTAGAAATAACTTCTTCCCTGTGTTAGGATTATATTTGAGGTCTTTTTCCAGTTGCTTAAAATCAGCTGTCATGTTACAACACAGAATATAAAACCTTAGCAAATATTTTTCAGTGCTAATGCAAACTCTTGATATGTCTATTCAAAAACCAGCTACAGAAGAATTTTGAATCGGAACAGAACATTTCAACTTGATTTCAATGGCAGCTGAGTACCCAACTCCCATAGGCTCTTCCTAACTCCCCACTACCACAACCTCCCTTCCAAACAAGAGGCTTTGCTATTACATGTTCTGTGCCCCATCAGCATGTCTGACATAAGTGTGCACTGAAGTGCCATGAGACTACTTAGCTCAAGTGTTCTGTTTGGCATCTTGGCAAACAGAGAACAGGGAGACATCTACCAAATTTTCATTAAAGTTTTATGAACAGGAGAGTTAGGTCAGGCTGCCAGGGACCCTGTGTCAGTGCCACTGTTCCAGTCAGTGCAGAATGGAGGCACTTCTTCAAGCTGAGTCACTTTGAATAAGTGTCTCATACCTCTGAACACCATGACATGTAAGTAGAATCAGAGCTGCCATCCCTGTGGCCATGCTTTTCTAGTCTGTTTTTTCTACACTGTTATTTTAGGTAGCAGAATAGATGAGTTGCTGGTGCTGCTCTCTTCCATCAACCTGTATTCTTGCAATGAAGGAATCAGGTCAGCCTACTTGCTTTCTCTCTTACATGCACAGGCACATACACAGGAGATTCTGTACTTAAGGATGTTATTTTTAATTCATGTACAGCTCACCCTGTATGGAAAAGGGAGAGGGCTGTTACACAACTATCTAAGCAGCAGGGTCAGTCTCAAAGACAGCAGCTCTTTGAATGAAAGATAAATAAGGCATATATCTTCATATGAATGTATAAATAAAAGGTACCTATTAAAAAAAAAAAAAAAGCTATAGATATAGCTAGAAACCAAAAGATAAGGTGTAAGAAGTTGCCTTTTCCAGGCTCTTTTAGCCAAGGAGAATACAGTGGGTGTCTGGCATATTCATCAGTTCAGTGATTCCTATGTACCCTTGCCATCAACAGAGTAAATCATTACACACAGTCCATGAAGCTCAGGGCATATGCAATATTATAAATTCCACTTAAAAGCTGTGAACTCACAGACTACATTAAGCTACTCAGGACAGCTCACAGAAAGACAGCAACCCCATTTTACAATCAGTGAATGCAGACAATGCCTTTTTACTATCATTCCATCATGCTGAAGTGTGACAGCACATATAATGATACTAATCCTTAGTTCCTAAGAACAACCAAAAACTCTCCTCAGATTGAAGGGGAACATTTAAGTTCCAGAACAACCTCTGCTGTACACTACAGTTCTTTCTTCCTTACCTTCAGCTGCCTTGATGGTGTAGCCATTCTCTTCACTTGGTGGTACTTCCAGGACCTGCATGACCCTGTCCAGCAAACCATGGATGATCTCAAAGCCTGGGCTTTTGTTGTAATAAATCGCACATAAATGTCTATAGTTTCTCGCCCCTACATCTGCAAAAGAAGGAAGCAATTATGTTACCCAGGAAACTTTATCACACTTCTAACTAATCTTGCCTTTTGCATCACTCTTCTTTTACTGCCCCATGAGGCACTTGTGGCTGAAAGGAGAAATAAGTATGTAAAATGTCTTCTCTGACAGACCTGTCATGTAGCCTGAGGAAACAACGGAATTTCTTTAACCCACTGGACTCTCACAGTCAGGAATGTAAAGAAAGATTTAAAGTACTCTAGGCCTTGAGCAGGAAAGACTGTTGTTATATACAAATATCTTGTATGCAGTGACAGGTACCAAGCATAAAGCTAAGTGTTGAAGAAATTTAAAACAGGCAAGCCAAAATGCAAATACCCAGTAGGCATGGAGAAGCTTGTGATGCTGGTGGGAAAGCTAAATATTTATAGAACTCAGCTGTAGAACAACTACCAGCACAAAACAACCAGCCCACAACCTGAAATGAGTGAAATAATGTTAGCATGGTGATCTGTGAAAATATCTTAATTCATAGAGGTTCCCAAGTCACAACTGATGCTCTCTGGGATCATCTTGGACATCCCTGCAACCAAATGATTATGAAAAATGTGCTACACTGCACACATTCCTAAGACAGAAACATAAGTATCTCCCACTTTGGACAATTCCTTAAGTCAAACCCCTGCCTTATGCCTTCTGACATTGATTTCAGCAAAGTAAGTTTCTGTTTTTTTAAATTTTCACAATGAGTATATAGTAGCATGTTGTTGTACCTTGTGGCTACCCCACTGCAATGCACACTGTCTAGGACTAGTGTGGTTTTTGAGGCTTTACTCATGGTGGGTTTCAGCATTTTCATCAAGTCAACAGGAACCAAGCTCAAAGAAACAAGAAAAGGAATGGGTTTTTCAGGCAGCAAAGAGTTAAGCAGTGAAACTTCTTCACAGGATTTTGTGGATACCAGGAGTTTACACAGCTCTGAGGAGGCAGATGGAGTCCATAGGTGATAAATCCACTGCTTCTTACTATTAGATATTACTATCACATCTATGCTGGGAAGTCCCTGAGCTACTCCTGGCCACAGAGCAGGGGAGCCCTCTGGCAGATTTATTCATTTCTCCCTCAGAAGCTCTCCTGCCCTCACAAGCGCTTTCAGCTGGAGTTAGTCAGAGCATTAATATCTACCACATGAGAAATTATTGCTCCAACTAAACATTTAGTGATATAAAAATCTGCCAGGAACTAAACAGGAAAGCATTTATCAAGCGACCAGAAATACACAGGTTAAAACAGACAGTAAAACACAGGAACAGAGCCTACACCCAAGATGAAAGCTCAGCCTTTTTGAGACAGAAGTCATCCAAAACTTCTAGGGCAGCTACTTGGTACCACAGCTGCAAGTTCTCTCATCAGTCACTGAAAGCTGGACTTACTGTGGCAGCAAGTCTGCAATTTGTCATTCAACATTATTTTCCTGTCATTATAATAATGAGCAGTGTTAAATAATGCTGGAGAATCCAATCCTGAAGTTAAAATGGCAACACAGGAAAGTAAAGGCTACAGAGAAAATATGAATAAATGCAGTCTGTTTTTGGGTCTGAGCACTCTGGTGGCTCTGTCTGTGTGTCACATGTGTCTCTGTTTGCCAGCTCTACTAAGATACCAACAAGTAATGCAGTCATAGATGGACAACAATTTATTTTCATGTTATACTGAGAAACAGAATAGAAAAACATTGTATTCCCTTCCCTAAGACAGCATATTCTTTGGGCTAGATGTTCAGTAGAATGGTTTCCTTTTTTTTATGAATCATTATAGTAGCAGATTCTGTGACATCTGAATTTTTATTTCATTATGATTAAGATAGTCAGTGGTGCCTTCAAACCAGAGTTCTTAATTAAAGCATCAGAAATAAACATACACATTTTTTACACGTCATGTTTTCAATTTTAGGAATCTTTGATAAAGGAAATGTTGTTTTTTTCAAGTGTTATAAAACTTACTCCTTTATGGAGTTCTATCACAACAGAGGAAGTTTATTCACTACAAGTGATAGGAAGGAAAAAGATATTGGGAATTGTAGGCAAAAGCTGGCAGATGTTAGAAATGCTTCAGTTCTTTATAAGTCATTTAAGAGCTCTCATGTCATGCCATGAAACATTTCTATTTTTCAAGTGAGCTTGCCAAGTATGTCAACCCAAATTATACATAAATATATATATATGTGTGTATATATTTTTGAGACTTCAAAGCACTTCCTGGGGATGCTGCTGAAAAACAATCCAAAGGATGGGCAGCTGCTTAGGAATCTGTGAGCCAAGAGTGCAGAGGAAGATAAAGCAACGTTGTACACGGTTCCCTTCCAAATCAGAGCTGCCTCAGAAAAATGACCTGGTGATCTGAAAAGGGACACCTGCTCATGAAAACTTGTCTTTTAGCCTCCCAAACTATTTTCTGCAGATAACCAACACTTCCAGACAGTTGGAAATATGCTTCAAAAGGTGGCAGCGGCTGTATTCACAGATGATATAAATTGTGCTAAATGTGTGCTACCATAAGCTTGCCAGATTCTCCAAGATCACTGGTCAGAGGTGATTTTCCAGTGGATTAATTTCTTTTGTTGTGGTGAGAGAAAGGGAATTCTCTCAGGCCTGGTGGTAAAGGTGCTGATTTACAGCCTAAACTAGTGTAACTATCCTACAGAAGTGATCACCTAGTGATACAAATCACCCACACAAATGCTGTGCAACATATTCAAATCCAGTACATTTCCTTCTGCCCTGAGAAAAAACATTTTTGTTCAGATTTGGTTCCATTTAGTTACATTAAATATAACTAAAAAAAAACCCCTATATATAATATATATGTATACATACACACACATATATATATAATATAACTAAATATAACTGCCACACATTTTGCTAATTTAATACATCAAAACTTGCTGTCAGATAAGTTTGAAGAGAAATATGTTCAGTTCACCTTGGTAAACACAAGTTCTGTGTAAGAAGGTACCTCATTAAAGTGTTTAAAAGAGCTAGGCTCACTCACACATGGATGACTGCAAGATGCCATTTCAAATACAGTTAATGTCAGTACTCTTTTGACCCATACTTTTGAAATTATTAATTGGAAATTCTGCATGCCAAAATCATGAAATAATAAAATTAAATTAAGTCAGTCTGATGACATAAGCCTTGTGCAGAAAATCTCATTCCATATGTGAGAGGACGACCCCACATTTTCAATATTTGCAGTTGCCTTTCTCCACACCCCCCACTGTCCTCCCCAAACGGTTTATTAGGCAAGTTTAATTTTGGAAGTCAGTTTGGGGAAGATAGTAGTGATTCTAAACATAACATTAAAGCCCATTTCAGATACTGTTCATAGTCTGTAAGGGCTCAGTCCATGAGAGGGCTGCCCACTGCTGCTGCCTCACAAGTCTCTGTTTGTTGCGATCATTCCCATCAAAACTAAGTACACCACAAAATCATTCCTTACAAAACTGTTAAGCAGCCATCCACATAAATGAAAACTTTCAAGAGCTGCACTTGACAAACATGAAATAAAAGTAACAATTGAACTCCCAAATTTTATAATGCCAGAGTAAATGTGCTCCTTAGTCCAAGACAAACAGTTCTACTCTTGGTTCTGAAGAATGCTGATGCTATTCTGCCATCTGTCCCACGTTTTGTGCATTCTAGCTAACTGCATGCCCAACAAGGAATGAGCTGCACCACCAAACTGTCTGTATTTAATAAAAAAGAGCCTACATGGTTCGCTAAAACTGCTTGTTTTGCTTGGCAAGGCTCTTTTTTCTTTCAAAAAGGAAAAAAAGGTAATCTACAAATTAAATTCATCACCAAAGCAATTTACTTGCCATTTTGTTTAGGCCTTATATAAACCTTTGTTTTGCAGATCCCAGATCCTTCAAACACAACCACTAAAATCTGAAACCAGATAATGAAACAACAGAACCATTGCTACCACTGAATTTAAAGTAATGTCAGCCTTTTTACTGAGGCAAAAATCCATTCAACTCCTCCCACAAGTTGTAGCTTGGGCACTCCTTTTCTCTCAATATACCATAGAGAAAGACACAAATCAGTAAAATTTAGACAAATTTTTAACATTTAAAAATCTGTTTTTACAGTTCATTTTACTATGATATATTTTTCCAGATAAAGATAATTTGAAATTTTGATCATATACAGTGAAATCAGTGCAAAGAGGCCCCAAGACAGAGGAAGGATTTCATGGAAGCTTTTGGAAAGTGAACGAGCTGCTTTGCCTGTTTCACGTGCAATAATTAAGGCTACAGAACAATTCCAAAGCAGCCACGCTTTCTTAGAATAGCTAGGTGAAATAGAAAGATAAGGATAATATTTTTATTAATGAGAGAGGAAATTTTAGACTGTGGAGCTTTTTATTTATGGATACAGTTTTTTACACAGACTTGCTCTATTCTCAACCCTGTATCTCTGCTACCAATCTCATTCTTCATATCGGTTACCAACTTCCCAGAAAATAATCTGGGAGAACAAATACAAGAAATCCTGTTTAAAGATGATAGAAAAGGGACTCATGTTGAGACACACTGACCCCAAAATCTCTCTGGGATAGAATCTGCTTATAAATAAAAGCTGCTCTTCCCAGGCTTGGGACATTCTGCTTTCTACCAGCTGGCCCAGCCCTGCACATCACTGAGACTGCAGTGGTATAAACGGGCTCTAGAACTGTAACAGCAGCATGCCTTTGGTATTTCTGCATCCCAGGGGTTGTGCCACTTGCAAACATGATGAGCAGGTAGTTTCTTTCAGGAGATACATCCCTGATAAGAATATCAATTACATTCCTGATAAGAAGACAAAGGAGCACTAGATGAAGAGCAACAAAAATAGGCACATCAACACAAGCAATTTAGAGCAATTTTTTTTTGATGCAAAATTTTCTTGTCTTTATGTTTGCAGTTTCTCAGTATCTGTGACAGATTTTAAGGAATATTTAGATGCCTAAGAATAGTTGCAGTATATCTCCTTGCACTTTTGAGAAAGCATCTAAAGTGAACAACATTTCCAGACACTCTAAAATCCAGCCTGTAAACCAGGCCATTAATTCTTGTGCTGTGCACATTAATACAAAACCCCATTGTAGTATGAAATTACTACTATTATGGAAATGCCTATTTTAAAGGAAATATAGATTTATTTACTATTATCATTTGGTATGTAAATGTATTTCCATTATCAAAAATTCTGAGGAACCTGCTCTTCTTACCTGTATTAGGATCTTTTACTACAATGTCAGAAATCTCAAAGAGTTTGAGAGGCAAGGGCATCTTTCTGTTGGCAGCAATAGTTTTCAGCAGCCCAGGAAGGAGGGTTGTACGTGCCACCTGCAGGACAAACAGAGATGCTGCAAGTCAAATACCTTCCAAAATATCTTGTTTTCTCCATTTGTTTTTGTTTTCTCCATTCATAACAGGAATTTAAAAGTAGTCAACTGCAAATACTGCACTCATCTCCTGTGTTTAAGCAAGCTTGATTTAGAGTTACTAAACCTGGAAATGTACACTCTCTCCATGTTCTATATACTGCCTTTTCTCAAAGAGTTTATATGTGAGCTTAACAAGTGGTACCATTTCACAGGTATTCACAGGAATTGCAGTACAGGGTAGAAAAATAGTACAGAAAAGTGAAAAAAATTCCCATAAATTTACTCTCACTTATACAAAAGGTAAATTCTAAGTGCAGTTTTGGAAACATCAAGTGTTAGCTAAAATATTATTTTTATAGAAAAATTCTATGTAATATTCAGTCGTGGACACCTGAAATCTACAGCAAATGCATTCAAAGAACCAAGCAAGAGACAATCGTGTCTGTGAACATATCTGTAAGAACAGTAACATTTCCTGTGTTCTCCATTCAAATACTTCCTTTAAATTGCACCTTTTTTTTTTGCCAAGCTAGAAGAGGTTGATTCAGTAAATCTAATATAAGAGGGGTGGCAGTGACTGCTCCTTGACTGTAGGTTAGAAGTCACCATGTGCTCAGCCACAGTTACTTCTTATGTTTGGTCATGCAGCATTTCTGTCCCTTTATCCTATTTTTCTTAATCAATGAGGAGTTCCAGCTGCACACTCAGTGTAAGATGGACCCTGGCATCATCCTGCCCTTTCCTTGCTGGCAGAGGACAGGAGATGGGGAGAGTTATTCTGAGAATCTCATCCCACCTACCATCTAAAGCTGAAAGTTTATAGTGCATCACACAGAGCAATCCTTCCCAACTTTCAGGGAGGCCTAGATTTTAAAAAATTGAAGCTATTTTTGCCACAAGGAATTCTCCATCCAACAATAACCCTGCTTAGCAGCACTGCTACTGCAAAGGCCTGCAGTCTTGCAAGAACAGGAGTCTGAAATTGTATCTGGCTAGAGGGGCTGCCATGTTTTCTCTTTTTATTCACACTTTGTTTGTTGGGGGTACATTCTGTATTGCTCACTGTAATCACCATGCTAAATGACAGAAGGGAACAGCTGGTAATGGTCTAAACAGGTTCCAGTGGTGTCTTGCATGACTGCTTATTTGTGGTACCAAATAAAAGGTGTGCAAACAGTCTGTTCTTGAATCTCAGAACAGCAGAAGACTGTCATCAATATTAGAGGTAAGATCTAGGAAGGTATTTCAGAAACTCAGAGAAATCAGATGTACTGAAGGTCTTAAGGGAAAAAAACCCCACAAATCACAAAATATTAATACCTAACAAACTCCTGAAACTGTTCAAAACCTTTTTAGAGTTTACCTTTGTATTTGTTAGGCAAGAAAAAAAAAGGGCAGCTCTAAATTTACATTCCTTGTAAACTAAAGAAAGCATCTTAAAAAAAAAAACCAACAACACTCTTGAAAAGAAATATAAAACCTATGGGTACACTCTTTGGTATTTTCAGAATTGTTGAGAATACCATACTTGAGCTCTCAGTTTCTGCTCTAGCTAAGATCAAATGATCTAGAAAGGAGTATTAAGATACTTCAAGAGCATCACAAATTTAAAAAAAAAAATAGACAAAAAAATACAAAAACAAGAGTAATAATGATCAATATTTTAAAAAAACCAACCCAAATGTTTTCTCCCCAAAGCTCACGAAGTTTAGAGATTGCCAAATCTAATAGTTCTTTCTCTATTGAATACGTTTTCTAGATGAGGGAACTGATCAACCATCTGGGATTTTCTGCAATAAGACCACTCAGTTTTGCCACATTCTGCCACACAGAGCATGGTACTTTGCTTTCTTGAAAAGCTGATAGTATTTCACACTGGAAGAGAGATTTCTCAGTGGAGTAACAAGATGACATGTTCAGAACATAAACATATCCAAGCTTTTTAATGCAAGAAATGTAGCTTATCGTTCGTAAATTTTATTTCCTGTAGGTTCCTTTCTCTCCTTTTAAAATACAGAATCCATAACAATATTGCTTTCAAAATGTAACTGATCTCACCTGAAATTCTGCTGTTTTGGGGTTTGCTATGTGCACAGCGTTTGTTGCAGAGATATCTGTGCCAAGTTTATCTGCAATATCTTCTTGGGAACACTGCAAATGAGACAAAAAACCTGTCAAGGTCAAGTAGTTAAAATAGACAGCCAGTGATGAAATTTGGTATCAAGAACAATGGAATTGTAGCACTGCCCCATAATATATCCCTTCACGCATAACACTCATAATATAAATTAAGCCCTAGACTTTAGACCAAGTAGGCAAACTAGTTTATTTACAGATGTTAATTACTAAATAAAATAAAGCGGGATTAAAAAAAAAAAAAAGGCAAGTGTTTATTTAGGCTTCTGTCACGGATTGTTGCATTTATTTTAAAAACAGGCTCAGATGCTGCACCCTGACTTGCAGTGGGTGAAGCACTTTATTCTGCAAATAGCACTTATAGAGGGACTGATATCTGTTCTTTCACACAAAGGCAATCCCTTGAGGGACACTTACAAAAAGTACAGTATTGTCTATGAAAAACAGCTCATATGGCCAAGCCCTCAATTTTCAGAGCTGTGTAAGATTCTTGTAGTATGTTCATTTTTTAGGGTTGAAGTGTTTTTAAAGCCTGTATTCTAAAAGTGTATTTTTAAGCTGGTCATTAAAACAATATGCATTCTCTTTATCAGGCTCAGCCAATGTCTGTGCACACACTGCAATAGATGCTACTTCTAAGATTCACACTTCAGATTTCCAGAATTTATAGCTTTATTAGAGTAATAAAGACACCAGTAGCAGACTAGGCACATAACTGAGGATTTGCTTGTGTATTGCAGTCTCCCAGAAGTGTTCCCTTTGCACTGGCAGCACTCACAAAGTGTGCTGATAGACCAACTGTGAGAAAGATGAACAGATGATACCATCTGAAAAAGTGGGTTATTGAATAATCATTTAAAAAAATCCCAAATAACACAAGGAATGTTGAACTTAGGAGGAGAGAACTGTGTTAAACAGTTTTCAGATGTGTATCTAAACTACAGCATGTTGCTGTGATTTAACTAAATGCATTCTGGCTAAACTGGAGCTCCTCACAGAAGGCAATGTTATTGTGTACAAATCTCATTTGGGGCTCTAACCAAGAAACAGACTGAGTGCACAAATACATAAGCAATATTTATCATATAACACTGGGGTACAGAATGTTGTAGCATAAATTATATCCAAGTTATCAAAGTCATAAGGCTCACACTGGTGTGTTAATAAAGTGCTGGGGACATAACAGACTGTGAGGTTCATCCTGTCACAGCAGAAATACAAATAAGAAATGTGATACCATGACACACTGTATGACCTTCAAAAATTCTGCTGTTGCAGTTCATAAAGGTTCTCACTTGTAGCAATGTAATACATTAAATGTTCCAAACATATTACCTATTGCTGCTGAAAAAAATGAACTATGTGGCTCAAAGAACTAAGCAAGATTGCAGCACTCAAAAATGAATAATGAATTAGGAAATATTAATTAGGAAATATTAATTTTGGATAGTAATATTAATGAAAAAAAAATCCTTTAAAAGCTTGACTATATGTAGTTTCTTCAACATGGTAGTAACCACAGGTCTGAATACCTCAGATATTAGCACTGCAGGAGGCAATACTACTTATTGTCCTGGTTACTTAAATGAGTTAATAACCAAATGTTAAAACTGGAATATATTTTTCAGAATGAGAGCAAATTTTGCTTTTGAAGCTCTGTGAAATCTGAAGGTGTTAAAATTTTATTCAATCAATTCAAATTACCAAATCTGGTTGCAGTACCTGAAATTTTCAACTGCCAGAAGTGCTTTAGGAGCCTGAAATGCTGCATCTTAAAACATTTGAGTAAATTAGTAAAAAATAATCCATGAGCAGATCACTCTCTCTCTTAAGAGGTTGTGTACTTTCAAGGATTTATACCTCTCACCATCTAGTCAATTTTAGGCTCAGGAACAAGCTGAGAAATTCCACAGAAATTTTAACAGAATATGTGATGGTAGCTCCCCCATATGCTAAAATGTGCACAAATTGGACTTTTAAGCAAAGGCTTTGAGCAGATCTTGCGACAGAAAGGATTTTTTAAAATGTATCATGTATTTTCAGTAGCTACCTATGCCAGTCTCCATTTATGGGCAGTTACCATCTACATTTGGAGGGCATGGGAGCCTATTTAACTTTTTTGTTTTTAATAGTAGATCAGGTTCTCTGATCCAGTTCACAACTCAGGGGTATGAACAAGTGACCATGACACAGATGTTGTTTCCTACTGTACATTCCATTTTAGCACAACAATCCTGCTGCATAATTTCCATAGTACAAATTATGGCATCGGCGAGTATCAGAGTGGCACTTGCTGCTACAGAGTCCTAATTCTCAAAGACTACTGGCATGGCTGTAACAAATAATTGCTAAAACCAGTGGTAACAATGCTATATTTTTTATCTATATTTGTTATCTATTTACTGTATATCTATTTGTTATCTATATTCAAAACCCTACCTGTGGTGAAATTTATAAAGGATGCCACCTTAGCGTCTGTGTATTGTAACTTTTTCATGGCTATTAAAATAAGCTCTTTTCAGACTGAATTATCTAATGCAAGGAATCGTGGGCAAGTGACAATACTAAAGAAAATTACAGAAACAGGTACTTCTCAATACACTGTAGGAAAACCCACCAGAAAGTACTAAATTTTCATGTTGGTTTTCCAATTATTGAATTATGATGAATTTCACATCTGGTGACCAAAGTCTTGAGAGAGATTTGCTGTCTTACAATTCCATCCAATCAAATTAAACTAAAACCAGTCCTTCAGAAGCTACTTCCCTCTCTATACTTAGAACTACATACCACATTAACAGTGACTCATTTAATTTCTCTAACCTACAAACTCACCAAATATTATATTATGATTCCAAAGTCCTAGTAAACAACCAGCTGCCAAAACAGTACTGGAAAATACTGGTACATTTATATGACAACATATCCTCAGACCACCCTCTGCAGTTTTGATTGCATCACTGTTCGAACATGCAATTAAGAAAAACACGAAATCAATGTAATATACCAGGGCAAAAGTGAGTGCTTCAGTGAATCCAGCAGCTGCCAAGTCCAGTCTCAGAAGTTCTGTGAGCTTATTGAGGGGAAGCTAAAATGAAACAAAACAGTGTTCAGCTTCCTTCTAAAAGCATTTTGCTATTCTTTCCTGGGATGATTCTGCCTGCCACATGATGGTGAATTCACAAGGGAGGGACTATGCTTGTGTGCTTAAAATTTTTGAAAGCATTAGCCAGCTGCCTTTAGGCTTGCCTAAGGAAATGAATCTCCCAATTAGAGATTTAATACGGGCTCCCTACTTAAACCCTGTCTTTCTTCAAGTACCAGCAACCACTGGTCTTAGACTTATTCAAATCAGTGGGGCATCTGTTTTGTATCCCATCCACGGTAAATACTTCTCAAGGCAAAGCATGTCAAAATATTTAATTCCTAGGTTCTGTTTTCCCCAAAGCCCTTCTGGCATGCAGCAGTCATTTACTGACAACAGAGCATTCATTTGAAGGGGCAATCTTACTTGATTAGCTATGGCGTACGTTTTCGGAATCACCATCTGAATGTTGTTATAACCATAAGCTATTGCTGCATCTTCTACGATATCACAGGCATGGATAACGTCTGCTCTGGTAGGAGGGATTTCAATCTCTAGATGGTTCCCATTCCCTGTGACGTGTGACTTCAAACACATCCTAGTCAGCAGCTTTGCCAGGCTTGATGGAGTTTCACTGAAACAAAACAAGAGAGTGGTAATTTATGGACTTTGCACTATACTGACTGGCTTTGTAATCAATGTTTTTTCTGCATTGCCTCATATCCTGGAGAATCTGCAAGTGCTTTATAGACTGTACACAGACTTAGCATTAAAACAGAACCAGCTCAGATTCCCACTCATGAGATGGTCATTTTCCTTAACCTCATAACAGTTGTGTGAAGCCATAAAGAATCATTCACTTTCCCTGAAAGCAGGGGACTCTGTTTCAGAGTTGATCTAATTACCCAAGATAACACCTGAATTTTTGATAAACTAAAAAAAAAACAACACATAAGCTAAACATTTTTAAAACAATAAATCAGTGTCTTCTAGTACCTTTGTCATGGTTAATAAAAACTATGTTTTCATTTGCAGTAACACACCTGATTCCTACTTTCTTGTTAATGTATTCAGGTTTCACTTTCTCTGTCCGATAAGCCAGCTCCTAAAAAGACAAAGATTTTAAGCATAGACAGTGCCTGCCATTTCTACCTAAGAGGATTCAATCTCAGTAATCTAGTTTCTAATTGCCATACTAAAATGACACCCACAGTAGAAAAATGTGGAATATTAGGCTATATTTAGCATTCTAAAGTTAATAGGATTGTTGAAAATATACTCTAGTACATGATGCAAAAGCTGTTCTTGGTTAAGCTAGAAGGGTGAATGCAGCATGAAATCCTCGTTATTGAAACTTCTGATAATTTCTGATATATGCAAGTAACACAGTCCCTGAAAGTTTATGGTGAGTAGTTCATCCTAAGCCAAAGCCCTAAAGCACAGAATGGTCATGCATGAGATCTCATGGTCTTGTACAGATCAAATGACCTTCAGGAGGAAAAGGAAGGAAAACTTTGTATTTCTTTATTGGCACATAAATATCTACCAGTATTTTACTTAGCAACTGTCCAATGTATTTAAGAAAGTTATTTTGTATGTATTTATGTATTTCACGTGTTTCTAAACTTCGTGATACAGAAATCCTTAAAAACCATAGCAACTGAAACTTGGGGATTTTTTTTCTCTATTTTATCTAGGGAAGCTGCTTTGTTGACTGCAGAGATTTCTATTTTGTTGGATATCTTTTCAGGATTCTACACCTTTCCTCTGGTCATTAAAACTGACATTGTAAAAAGAAAAAGATAAAATGACACTAGAAAAACTCTCAGCAAAAATAAGTTTCCCTCTAAACAGTCTGTACTCCCTTGGTATATCTGATTTTATGAACTCAAACAGATCTGTCTTCAGTTACTTTCAGGAAACAGGAGGAATTGCTCTCTTTCTACTTATTAAGAGGATAAAAAAGTAAGACTCCATTACTGTGAAAAGGTCTGTCTGGGGCTCTGAACTGAAGTCAACATTCTGCCTTTTAGACCTGTACATAGTTGGTGTCTGTAAAGTGAGAGACTGAGAAATGCAGTGTTACAAGGTTATTTTAACTGAAGGGCATTAAAGCTTCCAGATCTGATAAGTACATTATGCTGAGGTTGATTTCAGTTGTCCATAGGCTTAAGGCTGAAGGACCTCTTCCTGCATTCATTTTTCCTGATTTGGAACATGTAGATTTGGACACAGATGATGACCTTTGATTGTAATCTTTACTTGATCCTGGAAAAGGTCCTATCACAGGCACTCTAAAACATAATAGTGTATTTTTAACCTCATCACAATTCAGAAGCTTCAGAAGGACTTTCCTAGACAAGGAAAAGCTGGAGCTGGAGTTATTTTTTGTGGGGTTAGAGAAGGTTCTGACTCACTAATACAGAGAAAGTGCCAAGCTTGGTTTTTACCCTACACCTTAGAACCAGCACATGCTGCCACAGGAAAAGCAAACTCTTACCAGACTTTTTGCAAATAAAGCCCTCTCCTTAAGGACACAGAGATATCCTAATGCTGTGCTTACCGGATAGATGTGGGTCTTGCCATTGGGATAAACCACTTCTACTGCTTCAACACTGAGAGAGACAGAAAAATATAAGTGAAACTGTTTTTAACACATGGCACAAATGTAATGTCTCTCTGCTTGGAGATTTATACTCACGTGTATGGCTTCTCACAATATTCACTGAACATCGTGACTATAATATCAAGAACAATTTTTGCCTACAAAACAAACATAATAATCACATTAAAATCTGTTATCTACTTGTGTGGAAGTAGATAAAATACCTTAACAAAAAACAGGGAAAATATCTCATCTTACACTCTCTTCATTCTCTTCTGATTTTCTAGCAGTCTAGAATTCTAGACTGAATTTCAAAAAACATTTTCCTTCTGATGCAGACATTTGTGCAAAAGCTTGAAAATCTTTGGTTTTCAAGGTTCTGAAGCCTTGGCATATCTTTTCTAAACTCTGTGCTTTAGAAACACAGGGGTTTTATTACTATTTGGAGCTGGGTCTTCCTAAATTTCTGTCTAACTAGTCATTTTACTGAAATTCAATTGGGAAAGGAGAGGCTGCAGGACTACATTGTTTAGCAATACATTATCAAATAACTTCATTTGCAAATTTTTTGTTTTACAGCTAATATTTTAAGTGATGAGTATAATGGGACATAATAAGATTCAGATGAACTTCTCAGTCCAAAAAGGGGTTTTTTTTATGTCTGACAGTGTAATTTCCTTCATGTAAACAGAATAATACTGTATTTATTTTTAGTATCAAGACAAGCAGTAGCAAGAAACAGTTATTTATTAGTTTGCTTAGAAGCCACTCACCAACATGAAAATTTATTTGTGTTGTTAACATACCATTTTGCAGTAGGGTAAGTTAAAAGCAGTTTTGCTCTTAAGCATCAAGTTACACACTTTAGGGAAACTATCACTGAATGCACAACCTATATTCAAGAACAGGCAATTATAACTCCTTGGCTTTCACGCTTCAGCTTTGAGTTACAGAATTTGCATATGGGAAGACTTGAATTTAGCAATTATTTGCATGGCATCCCTGCTTGATAAAGATAACTAAGTAGAAAAATCCTTGTCTTTCTTCCCTCAGCCCAAATTTTCAGTAGGACATGAATCTTGACAGAGTATTCTGCCAAAACAGGAAGTCTTAGTAAATTTTACTCTTTTCTAAGCTTTTCAGATTTAGAAAAAGCGCTCAAAAGGAACAAACAGTCTCTAATTTGCTTCAATTATTTTCTCATACAAGCTGAATACTTAGTGTAAACTCAAAGCTATCTATACAGCAAGGCTGAAACTGTTTCCAGGGAATTCCACAGTCCTGCAACTTTTGTATTGGATGGTTGGATCCAGACAATAAATGCCTTGTTGTAGGTCTTTGTATTTGAGCTCTATTATCCAATGGGAAAACAATTATATTAAAGCATATCAAAAGCAGGAAAGAGTAATTTACCTTTGTAATATCTGTGCCTGTACATTCAATAAACACATTTCTGGTATTTAGGCTTATTTTTGTATGATCTCCTAAAACATGTGAAAACAAAAACATGTTAAGAAATATTAGTTTTATTGCAATAGACTGATACTGACTCATTTTGTGTTAGAAAGATCATTGTCATCTTCCACAATGTAAAAAACCCATTATCTACTGCACCAACATTCACAGCTGTTGGCAGAATAGCAGCTCTTTTTACTTTTGCATTTATGAATCAAATGAAAGGAAAAAGGCAGATCAGACACACTGACTGGATTATGCTTTCCATTGCAAGACACAGGGATCTGTAAAAACAGGTACCCTCAGCTGGAAAAGCCAGCTAAGAGAACAGTGGCCATCTGCTGTTAGCAAAGGGCTTTGCACTGCCATAGCATCCCATCTTCCCTGGGTTTAGTCTCATATTCACATCACACCTGTGATATATGTCATTTCCTTGGGCAGGAACAAATGAAATGGTTTTTAAAAAGTGATTTAGACTAATGACTATCAACAGTCATTCTGTGGTCTCTTGACACTGTCTGCTGATACCCTATAGGCTGCTCTACAGTAGTGGTTTAGGTCCTAGAATGGGTCCCTTCTAGGCATGAATTTGCTTTGTCTGTACTGGGAGTTATGATGAGAGCACTGAAGCACATCCCTGTTGCATTCAAAGATTTTCTTGTCTGGAAGAAACTTTTGCAAACTGGGATGAAGGCCCCCAGTGGCTGGCTCCCTACAAAAGTGGGGTCTGTCAGTAAGCCACAAGCAATCTGGAGCAGCTGTACAGAGAAGTCATTCTGCGTGTTAGGTACAGATGGGCAGTGCACACCTGGAGTGAATTCCATGGCTGGGAACCATGCAGAAATGGGCACACACAGTCCTAGAATCGTGTGGGAACATGCCAAATCCAGCCCCTCTGTTCTGCTTGCCTTTCCTTGCACCATTCATTAACACAGATGCACCCCACCAGAGTCAAAGAAACCACTTGCATATACATGGGAACTCCTCCTTCCTTTGTTTGACCCTGACTTAGCCCCCCTGTTTTAGTTTCCTATCTTAGAAATTAGGTCACAGCCAGATGGAGTTAGGTGCAGCAGAGATCTTAGGACCAAGGGATCTTGTACTCCCCCTTACAGCTGTGCTATATCTCATTGCAGATGGAATGTATTCAGCATCTCTGGACTCACTTCAAAGCAAATACAAGCCTTCACTTCAGTGATTGTAGATAATCCAAACAACCAATAGAGATGTTTACATTGCATTATTTGTTTAGAAAGCACCTCTGACCTGGAAGCCTATCTTAGATACTGTTCTCTAAAGCAGAGGCAGGTGTTAAATTTAGCTCAACCTTTTTAATTGATAAAATATAAACAATATGCAGCGCTTATACATGGAACACCCCCAAGCTGGAAGGAGCCTAACAAAGAAGGATCAAGCACCGTGGTTGACACCCCCGTTCAATTTATAACAGCTACTGTTACCAGTCCCTGCCACAGAGTTTGAGCTGCCTTTTAAAAAGATTTGGGTTAGCTGGATAAGGTGTATTAGGAAGCATAGATCCAAAGAGATTATCAAGGCAGATTTATTGGTCAGGGAAATTTACTGATTCCTGACCTATATTTCAGTATAGAAGTATACTGAATTACCTTTCTTTAAAGAGTAATTATTCCCATGCCATTAAATGGCTTCAGTAAACCAGGTTCTCAAAAATGACACATGGTTTCTTTTGCATTCAGTGGCAACCCATGTTTAGAACAATGCAAAAAAAGCCTAGACCAATTTATTCTCTTTAAGCAATTAAATTCTTTTGAAAACAGTGCAATAGCAATAGGATCCATAAAAACTAGTTCCCCTTGCTAAGTTCCCTGATGTAACCTCAGAAAATGGAGTACAAAGTTGCAGTTACCAGTTACTGTTACCAGTTAACAAAATAATTTCTTGCAGGCTTGTTTTCCTAACAAAGTTCCCTTCACAAGGAACTTCATTGAGTTGGGGAAGAGTATGAGAAACTCAGTGCAGAGGTTTGCAGTAGCACTTTTACACCCTTCTGATGAAGATGAGAAAAAGGAACAATAGCAGCCTAGGAGGGAGCAAAATATTTTACTACCTTTAAACTGAAAGAAGGAAAGAAGACTTCATGAAATTTTAAGTGGAACTATTTTAAGAAAAAAATAATAATCCCTATGATACATCAGTGTTTCTGTCTGACACTAACTCACACACAAAATAGCAGTAACAGTACAAAGCAGTCAAAAACTAATCTTACCATTGATGATGGGTGGCATGGACAGAACAACCCCATTGCTGTCATAAATGACAGGATAACGTGGTTTGTTTTCAATCAGGTGCAAATAGTGCCGAAGGTGGCTGTCAGTCTGGAAAAACAAAGCACAGCCTGAATTTCACTGCAGCTCAGATAGAGCCACAATCCTTTGGTGAGTAATTAAGGGGACTTTTGAAGGTGGGAAGGACTGGGTTAGAGTTAGGTACTTTACTAGGAAATGGTGTTTGCTCCCAGCAGCAGGAAAAGTTTGAAATGAGAGAACTGGATTTTTGGTTTTCTTCAAAAGTGCTGAAGATTATTTAAGGATTCTCTCAAACATGTGTAGGCCATGCTGTCCAAGATACCCTTGTTCACCACAGCAGGCAAACACTGCCAAATATCCCTAGTCTATAGGAACTCTTCCTGAAAGTAATAAAAATTACCACTTCAATACTTTTCCTTATAAATTGCTGGATACTGACATATTTATTATTTATTAAAATTTGATTCAAAACTTACATTTATTCTAATGACATAAGTATGTGCTGTACCAAAAACCTAATTTCCTTTTTTAGTCTCTCTTGTTTCTAAGCTCTCTTACTCTTTAGTCAGAGATACTTGAGGAATTGCCTCCATGGCCAGTATGTGTATTCCAGCAGAGCTGTCTACTGTAACTACAGTGATAAATAGTACCATTTTCAAATACTAACATGGGAACTGGCCCACATAAACAGTGTAAAATCAGACTTGATAGGATCTTTTCCTAGCATTTGCCTGGTTTTATCAGGCTGCTGAGCCAGGAGCAGTGCTAGACAACTCCAGCCTTTTACACAAAAGCTATACTTGCCTAATATGCAGCTGGGTAAATAATCCATCATCTTCCCCAAGCAAACTGGCCAAATGAAGGTAACATTAAAAAATCTGCTAATATCTACCTGAATTTTTTCCAACCCTTTTACACCAGACATTTATAGTAGATAAATACACAAGCCTTTTACAATATTATTAAGAGCATCATGAAAAGCAATCTTCATGTTGATAAATTAGAAGTTTTCTACCAAACCCATTCAAAGAGTTGCTCTTAGCCCCAAAATATCACAATGTATTTTTCACAGAAAATAAAATATTACCATGTATTTCTCATGATAAGCAAAATATGGAATGTTTACTGGCTGTTAAGCTACAGAAGAACTGTGTTTTATTTGTAAGAACAACTTTTAATAACAAGAATATGAGAGATATTTAGCCTTGGAAATTTATCTTCCTCCTTTATCAGTCTGAAAAATTCCACTTACCCTATACAGATCCATAATTTGTGAGGCTGAGTACTCCTGGGATTGATTCAGGGGCTTAAATTTAATTTCAGAAGGTGCTTTGGCTGTAAAAGTAAATGGACCGGTGATGGTGTCCAAGTCATGGGTACCTATTGCTACTAATGCCCTTTTCCTAGAAATAAAGAAGGCAAAATAATATTTTTACTAGTAATACTTGGAGTTTCTTAGAGTATGATGCTCTATACTTTTATGCATTCATAGAGCTTACTAAAAAAACAGAAGGATAATTTTGAGACGCCTAGAAATTGAAAAATAATTAAATGATAACATTTTAATAAATATTATTATGAATAACAACACCACTGTCAAGGCAAATCCAATGGGAACATTGTTAAACACTTCTGTCTCAACTGTTGAATGAACTGTAACAGCTATTTATGTTGAACAATACTGGCAGAAGACAAGAACATGAAAGGAAATGAGAAGGATCAAGACAGCTCCTATAGAATATTTTCCTTGGCATAACCATAATGCCTCTCTGCAACGGGGATGTGCACTCTTAACACATGATAAAATCATACACACAGACACTATACACTACTTGAAGCACTAACCTGCTTATTTAAGCACTAACCTGCAAATATTTTGGTGTAGTTTCTCTTGGAGGTCAATGAAACTGTCGTAACGGTCCTTGGTAAAAGTTATATTTCGGAGGATGGCAGCTACAGCGTGAGGCCGAATCTGGGCAGTCTGCAATTCACAACAGCAGCAGGCAGATTTCAGGAGAGCATCTGAAACTTTGATTTTATCTGCTACACCCAAATCAATTTGTCTATTGTTCCTCCCCTCCTCATTCCTAAGAACAGATCACACCAAATAGAGGTATTTAAATTTCTTTAGCTCTTGTTCTGCAAATAGGATTTCCAGTCTCACTGCTCTTACAAAATCATAGTGATAGGGATCTTGTTGCTTCAGCAACTCTCAATACATTTACAAAACATTTTTACCTGTTCAGTGATAATCAGCCTCTGACCTTCACCCTCAGCTGGTATTATCTTTTCAAACCTAGGGAGATTTATCCTAAAACAAAACCAGAAGTAAGTCGGTAGCTGAAATGCAGGAAACTCTAGAAATGTAGCAGCAAATTTATGTTGAATACTTTCTTGCTAATGTTTCTTGGCATGTAATTCGCTAACTGTGCAAAACTTGTTTTTTATGGGATAGTAAATAGAACTCAGCAAGATAAAATCATTGCAGAAAAGGGAAATAAATTATTTGTTTTGGTATTTACTACAAAGGATCACAAGAAAGTTTCTCTGTAGAAGTTCTTTATAGAAGATAATTCTCAAATGGAACAGCAATTGAAATTTTTTTAGAACAGATACAAAATCCATTAACATTCTAGTCTAGTCTTTATAAGTTATGCAATAGATCCTCTCCAGAGGAACATCTGATGAATCTGATCTACAGACGTAATCATACTCGAAATCCAAGCAAGTAAGAAGTTATTTACTGACCAGAAATGGACCCATATTTCAACAAATAACAAACAACACAAGAAATCTCACAACTCTGCCTTACCTTTCCTTAAAGACCTGTAGTCCTCGGACCAACCCCTCCAGGCAAAGCAGATCATAGCGGTTGGCAGGAACATCAATTTTATAGAGAACGACATCAGATGCACCTTTTGCCTTTTCTTCACCTTTTTCCTTACTTATAATGTCCTTCTCAGATGTCTGAAATGAAGCAAAAAAGTGGTTTTAACCTGATACATCTCAACATTGACAGCAGTAGGATAGTGACATGAAAAGAGAAACTGTATTGATTAGAAGTTTAACACTAACTTGCATTTATACAGCAAATGGACATACTAAATACAAGAAATTACATAAAACCTCAAATTCAGAAACTGCAAAGCAGTGTAACAAAAGAAAAATTCAGTATTAAAATTTTAATTTTAAGAAAAAACATTATAGAAGCAAGAATCTCCCGAGTGTCAGATCCCAGTAGAGATCTGAGACCTTATTTTTGTCAATAGATCGGCAAGTGACTTGTCATAATCAAATTTATACTGAAATAAAATGTAACATATGATGTTATCTTTTGATAAAGATCATTAAAAGGCCAATAAATTAAAATTAAATGGCAAAACCAAAACAGGTCTACTTGAGCAAGATTTGCATGGATAGAGTTATCAGGTCCACCAAATCTCCACAAGCACAGAATCTAAATCAAAACATGAAATATAAATTAGTTACAACTCAGGTAACAATGTCCAGGACAAATGTTTTTTGTGGATATTCCACAGACAACTACATTTCAAACAAAGCCAAACAGATCTTGTAAAATATGAGCAGTACATGCTCTGTGGCCATTATTTATGCTGCTAAATAAAACGGTGCCTGAGACTGAAGAGCAAGCAGCACAGAGTGTTGACCTCCAGAAAGTATTGCAATATGCCATCTTGGAGTCTCTTGCTTCCAAAGCAGTAACTTTGGTAAATCTGAGGGGTTTTCTCCAGATTCAAAACACCTATGTTAATACAGTCCATTACAACACTGTACCAGGGGACATGCTGGAAACAGTGCTATACAAACTCTTACCAAAAAACAATGCTGTCAATATGCTATATCTACTCAAAAAGTGATAAAGAAAAACATTACTTACAATTTCATCAAGCTCCAAACCAAATTCAAAGCAAAGCTCATCAAATTCTTCATCCGCTGTGAAAGAAGAGGGTGAACTTTGGTTAATAAGCAGACCTCGCTCTTATTTTTGTGTCTGAGTTTGGAATGTTTTCAAACAAGGCAACAAATTCTATTCTGGAAAAAAAAAAAAGGTCAAAGTAATTTAAAGAATTTTCCTTATATTTGCATCTGAGGAGCAGCTTCTTTAGTGCTGTCAGACAAGTACATAGTCAATTTACTGACATGATATTCTGACAGCCACAAGAGAAGGCTTCTGATCTTTGGAGCTCTGCTCCTCAGCCAAGTCTGTCAGAGCAACTCTGGCCTGAACAGATAATGAAATCAGAAGGGAGTAACTGGGCAGCTCCTATTCTGATCACTCAGGTTGATCTACAGAGGTTGCATCAACTGCGTTGTAACATGTGAGTTACACAGGCCTGATCTGACAATGCAGATCTGCACCGGGCTGAACAGCTCTCGTCTAAACCACTGTATGTCCTGAACACTCCTCTCCGGCCGAGAAGTTCTTAAATCTGCTTCCTGAGCCGAGAAGGAAGAGTTGAATAACCCCACGCTATTCACTGTTCCCTTTGCCTGCTCTCCCCTTTTCTCTCTCCTTCGTTTAAGCAGATCCTGACACACACAGTGACACTCCAACCAGAACCGCCATGCGGAGACGCGTGGTTGCAATTTCCCGAGATATCTCGAGCAGTGCGTGTAGGGGCAATGGCCCGAAGGGGCCAGGGATAACACATGGCTGTGCCTGCCGTGCCGTGGGCCGGCGAGGAGCCGGCGGCAGGGGAGCCACCGGCGCTCTGAGGCCGGAGTTTCCCTGAGAGTCCCGGCGCAGCCCCGGGACACGCAGGGCGCCGAGGGCGGCGGCACCGTGCGTGCTCAGGGCTTCGCGCCGGCCGGGGCGGGCAGCGGGGGAGGCGGCGCGGCCATGGCAGCCCGGCGGGGATGGCGGGGAT